AATAAAACAATTAATTAAAACAAATAAACAATTAAATAATTAATTAAAGCAAATAAACAATTAAATAATTAATTAAAACAAATAAATAATTAAAAATTAATTAAAAGAAATAAACAATTAAACAATTAACACAAATAAAACAACCAATTAACAAGTAAGCAAATAAACAAATAATCAACTAAAAATGCTATAAAAAATAAAATAAATAAATAAATAAAAAACAAGAAAACAATAATGAAAATGCCGAGACTATCCTTTTTAATTAGGGTATTACAGAACCCAATAAAATTGAATTGAAAACTGAATATAAATATCATCTCTCTATGGGTTCGACACCTCTCTTTATAGCACTATCCTACACGGAATCGTACTATTGAGAGTGGTAAAATTAGACACATCAACACCTGTAGCTCGCTAGTGTGGTAACATGTCAATGTCTCGCACCCGCTCACGGCACACCTGCCCACAGGGTCATCACACTTTAGGTACAGAGTTGCATTTTAGCATTATTTATCTTCCTCAAACTGATGGACAGACCGAGAAGGTTAATCAGATCATGGAGGATGTGCTTCGTTCTTGTATCCTTCACTGTAAGAACCATTGGGAGGATTATTTGCCACTTATGGAGTTTGCAGATAACAATAGCTTTCAGAAGACTATTGGTATAGCACCGTTTGAGGCATTATATGGCCGACCATGTAGATCTCATGTTTGTTGGATGGAGGTTGGAGAGAGTAGATTTTTGGGTCCTAAGTTCATTAAAGATACCCAAAATAAGCATGAGAGTTATGCAGATCGTCATATTCATGCATTGGAGTTTCAGGTTGGAGATCAGGTTTTTCTCAAAGTGTCTCCTATGAAGCCAATAATGCGTTTTGGGAAGAAAGTGAAGTTGTCACCGCAATTTGTCAGTTCTTTTATGATTACAGATCGAGTTGGAGCTATAACTTATCGGTTAGCACTTCCAGACCATTTACATCGTGTCCACAATGTGTTTCATGTTTTCATGTTATAGAAATTTCTGCGAGATGAGGATTGTTATCAACATATTGATGTTGGTGAGATTGAGTTGCAGTCAGATGCAACATATATGGAGCCATTGTGTCGTATTGTAGACCGTAGGGATCAAATTATTCGCAATACGGTTATACCTTTAGTACGTGTCCAATTGAGTCATCATAATGAGACTGAGTCTACTTGGGAACAAGATGATGTTATTCACTCGCAGTTTCTAGAAATAATGAAAGAAGGTAAGGGTGAATTCCAATGACGGAATTCCTTTTGTTAGGGGGGAAAAATGTAATACCCCTAATTTTTAAAGGATAGTCTCGGGATTTGTTTTATTATTTTATTGCATTTTTAATTGATTATTTGATTACGTGGCCAATTGTTTATGTGTTTTAAATTGAATTAATTGTTTATTGTATTTATGTGCTTAAATGTTATTTTAATTAATTGTTGGTTTGATGATGTGTATTTATTTGTATTTATTTATGATTTAAATTGTATATTTTATTTTATTTTATTTTAAGGGATGTATATGGATAATAGTAATTGACTAATCATTTGGGTCACATAGACTACTTGGATTGGAGTATAATGGGTACGGATATTTACCCATGGATAGTTGTATGTATATATTTATGGGGATATATATATATAAAGATAGTTTTATTATTATTATTATTATTATTATTTGTAGTATTATTATTAGTAAAAATATTATTATTATTATGGATGGTTAGTATTACATACATATATTGTTATATATATATATATGTAGCAGGATTTTATAGTCACATATATATATATGTGTGTGTGTGTGTGTTAAGGTATGTGAAAGGGTTAGAAAAACCCTATTCACGTAAAGATTTAGAGAGAGTTTAGAGAAAGAAAGGAGGAGGTTATGGCAAAGGTAAAGGCTAAACTAAGGAAGAAGGAGGCTTGAATTTTCAATCTGAAAATCTTAAGACAAGTTCTATTCTATTATTCTCCTTTGATTTCGTGTTCTATACATACTTAGATTAATTCTAGGATATTTAAATTGAATTAATCAAACTGTTTTGCATATTAAAATCTGAATTTACAGTGTATGTATATGTTAATGGGTTTGAATAGATATTTCATGTTTTGATGATTTAATGCATGAATTATGTTCTATAATGTTGAAAGCATGTTTATATAATGTATAATCGTTGTTAAGACCTTCTAGGATGTAGATACGAAGCTTTGAACCTTCAACAATGGAAGTTTGAAGAGCAGTGTTCATTTGAGACGAAGAAGATGAACAGAGCAGGATACCGGTCAACCGGTATAGGATTTCGGTCTACCGAAGAAGGGCTATCGGCCGATCGTTATGGAATATCGGTCAACCGATTTGCTAAATCGACAAACCGGTAGTGCTATTAGTCGACCGATTTGGCACTAGGATGGATTTTTGGAATTTACATATTGTATGTGTTTTTATGTTTGGATGACATACCATTGAAATAATATGGTTGGATAGTTTTTTTTTAATTTTTTTTTTTTTTTTTATGTTTTGGATATGATGGATTTTATATATGTATAGATATATGTCATGATATGAGCTTGAGTCTCAAGATCAGTGGTTAGGGAGCGTACATGCTTGGGATGCACAGCTGGATATAATGAATAGTTGTGTGCCCTAGTAGATCTAGATACTCATGACCACTTTATGTGTATTTTGCATGCTGCTTACTATTCAGGTTGAGGCCGCTTTATAGTCCAATGAGAGTTCTTTAGTGTGTATCTATATATATATGTGGACTACGAGTTAACCAGGATGTATACGTATATCGAGTTTAGTTTTGAGATGTAATAGATTAGAACTTGTTCGTGGGCCTGACCCACCATTATTTTACAGGTGTTCGTCAGTTCTAAACTTAGAGATTGTTCGTGCTAAGTAGAGACAATCTACTTCACTCTTCCGATTCTACATAGGATTCTTTTTTATGTTTTAGTTTTTGGATTTCTTTATTTCTTTCAGTTGAGTTTTGGATTAGAGGTCCACATGATGGATTCTCAAGTTGTAATCTAGATGGTTACTGGTATCAAAGGATTTGGATTTTTGGAGGATTATTCTATTGGATTATTTTAATGGAGGATTATTATTTAGTTTTCTTTTCTATTTTATTCTTTATTCTTATTTCCTTTTGTATTCTGCATTTGTTTATTACTTTAATTGTTTGATATTTTCCTCGGGTTTGGGCTTGGCTTGATCAACCCATGTCTCAGAGTCGAGGGGTATCACATGATGCAATTAAAATTAATCCCGCACTTATGAAATTTGCCTGAAGAGAAAATGCTCGAGTAGAGAATCTTGTGCTCTAGCTTTTCTGCGTATGCTTGAGCTTTTTGGAAAAGGCTCGAGTAGGAATTCCATACTTAGCCAAATTTCTTCAATTTATTTCTGAAGCGTCTTTTTGTTCAACACTTAATATTTTAGGATTTTTGATCATGGTGCTCGAGCACCTTGGCTGGGATGCTCGAGTAGAGAAAATTACGCTCGAGCTTTTTGAACTTCTGCTCGAGCTTTTTGGAAAAGGCTCGAACATTTTGGTCTTGGATTTCCAACGTAACTTTTCATCTTCCCAGGTGGATTTATACTCGAGCATTTTGTGAGAAATGTTCGAGCTCTGGCAATTGGAATTTCCGAAACATCTTTTCATCTTCCCAGCGAGTTTGTACTCGAGCTTTTTGAAAAAGGCTTAAGCATTTTGTTTTATGCTCGAGTAGAGAATTTTGTGCTCGAGTATTTTTGCCTTAGTAACTTTTTTTGTTTCATTTCACTTTGTGCTCATGCAGAGATACTTATGCTCGAGCTCTGGCACTTAAACTTCTTCAGAATCCCCTGTTGGACTCCAAACTTACTTCAGATGGTTTGGGACAACTCCATAAGCTTTAGAAATAGTCTTTAAGTCTCCAGAATCGGAAATCAGCTACAAAAGACAAATATGCTAATATCAGTCTAAAACTGGATAGAAGTATCACTTAAAGTCTCAACATATGCACGTTTAAGGGCTCGAATATGCAATATTCAACACTCATCAAGAGTTTTACAAATATTAAATAGGGTTAAGTGCAAAAAATACCCCTGTAATATAGGTTTTGTGCACAAATAGTCCCTCATTTTTGGAAAATGTGTATTTCAATCCATAAAAAAAAAAAAAAAAAAAAATGAAGGTGCAAATAAGCCCTTTTTGACCACTTTTTGGTCAAAATTGACATAAAGTAAATTTAAAAACCCTAATTTTCCTTTTCTCTTCCTATTATACCATTTTCTCAGAGGCTACTTCTCTCCTACGCCCTACCACCACCACTATGTTTACTCTGGCCATTCAATTCAACCCTATAGCCAAAGTTAAGTGCCGATCAGTTGAGTTGACTCAGTGTGTCATCAAACAAAGCCACATCATAAACCCAGCTGTTGGTGGCTGTTGGCGACGGTGAGCTCGGGACGTCGTTAATGTGTCACCGGTGATGGCAACTGATGAGAATGGTCTGGATCTGTTGATGTTTGTCGTACGGTAAGGATGAGAGCTTGCCGCCGAAGTTTGGTTAATGGTGAAAGGTTGAGGTCTTATTCTATGACGATGAGACGGCGGACGATGAACCTCATGAGGTGGTTCCAGACTGGGTAGTTCCGCCGCCTCTAAGAAAGAGGTCGGCTAAGTACAGTCCGGCGGCGATGAGGGCCTCTACGATGGCTATAAGGCTCAACCACTACTTTACTCCCTCCCTTCATTCCACCACCATGTCCACCGCGGCCGCCTCTACCTTTTCCTCTCCCTCCATCACCTCTACCGCTACCACGGCTTTTAAAGCCGCCGCCACCTCTGGGGCCTCTGAGGCTTCTCTCTCCTCTCCCACCGTCACCGCGGCTAATGGGTAAAAACCCTATTAATTGGGGAAATAGTCATCCTTAAAGGACATGACTCATTTTTATTAATACTTGTTTTTAAATTTAAATGTAATTTAATACTTACCAATTCCTGGTCTCGAGTTCAATCTCGAGAATCAGCTCAAATTTGAGCTAGAAATCAGCTCTTTTATTTGAGTATAAATGTAAGGTTAGCCACTTCAGGCAAAAATATCCTAAAAAGTGGAGAACAAAAAAAAAATCAAGTCCTAAAATTACCAAACATTATTGATCGCCAGCAGGAAAAAGTCGCAACCGTCCCTCATCATGTTTATGCATAATTCAGCACTGTAAAAGCTTCAACACAGACACAGAGAGTTGATTCTATACACTACGCTGTGTAGTAGTGGTTTTCTGTTTGGTTTTCGAAGGTTTTTGTTTCCCGATCGTATGTTTGGGATGCAGGAAAGTGGTGGGAAAAGTTACTCGGTGAATCCCAATGATTACAAGCTTCTCGAAGAAGTCGGTTATGGTGCCAGCGCCACTGTTTATAGGGCAATCTATCTTCCTTATAATGAAGTTGTGGCCGTTAAATCTTTGGATCTCGATCGCTGCAATACCAATCTGGTGAGAACTCCTCACCCTTCACCTGAATAATTGATGGACTTCACTGCTAGCTCACTTGCATAGATTTGATATGCAATGTTCTATTTCTGATTTGATTTTCATTGTTAGAGTTCGTGATCTTGTACTCTGCTTTTGATCTGTTTCACTTCTGCTTTCATGTTAAAATAGGGTAGGATTGTGTGCTGTTGATTTGATTTGATTCGTAAATTGTGACTGATTTTATATATAATTAGGTATATGTGTATTATTAAGATGCTACATTCTGTTCCTTCTTACTTAAATATCCACCAACTTAATATCCAAAAAGGCTCTACCTTCGAATAATTTTGTTAAATATGTATAATTGACTTCAAACTGACTAGGTCAATAGCTATCCAACTTCTCTGTATCAAACTTATTGGAATCAGGAGATTGTTAACCCAGTTTGATGGTTGCGCCACAATTCGATGAGTCAATCCCATGGTAGAAGAGCTGAATAGCTGAAGAATATAATTATCATAGCTTTGGAAAATATAATATCATTTTAACTTCTACTTCAGTTACATTTTTGGTTTTCACATTTTTACAATAAATAAATATATTGATGTGTCTTAAGAATACAAAGTGGATGCATAACATGATCATCGTCAACCATTAGGATCACTATCAAAATGCATTTTGATAAAAGTAATGGAAGTAATAACGTAAATCCACACGCATCATACGATAAAAGTGCCTGGGCAAGCTCTCGCAAACTTAGTTGGTTGCAATATCATTGCTGTCTCATTGAAGGTTGCATAAGTGTTCTAAACATCTTCTATCTCCAGGTATCCAGGCTACCACTTGTAATAACTATATTTAGGCAACTAATTTAGTGCACAAGAGATGCTTTTCCTTTTTTTTTTTTTTTGGTGGTTAAATCATAAAATAATGATTAAATTTATTTACTCCCTTGTGTATTAAATGGGTTATAATCACTTATTTTATTTTGATCTGAATTCTAGATTCCTCTTCTAATTTTCCACATCCTCATATTCCTTGTTGTGATACCGGAAGCACATTCATTTCATTCTTGTTTTCACATATCTCAACTGCTTTGTTTCTTATAGTCATCGACATTGTTTTGCTTTTCCTTTATTATTTTTCAGCACCATTATTCATGGTCTTTCAAGTGGTTACCTTAATACTTCAATATTAGGCTTGCATAATGAACTCGAGTTTGTGAAAACTGGACTTTGTAAATATAAGTTTTAAATGGTCATTAGTTCAGTTATTGTGGCAGAAGTGCTCTATACAAGGATATATGACCATGGTTCCCTTTTGTGCTTTAATTGAAGGAGTGTGTTCTTTTGCAGGATGAAATTTCTAGAGAGGCTCAAATTATGAGTTTAATAGATCATCCTAATGTAATAAAGTCACATTGTTCATTTGTTGTTGACCGTAACCTTTGGGTGGTCATGCCATTCATGGCTGAGGGCTCTTGTCTACACCTCATGAAGATAGCATATCAAGATGGATTTGAAGAGTCCGTTATTTGTTCTATCCTGAAAGAAACTCTTAAAGCTTTGGAGTACCTGCATCAGCACGGGCACATCCATCGCGATGTTAAGGTTAGTTGAATCTAAGATTTTGAATTATTGTAATAGGTCTTTTCTTTGTTTCATTTTCCTTTTTAAAAAATCCAGGTTGGTTAGGTGGGAATTTGGTTTGTTTTAACATTTGTTGTTTTAGGCTGGAAACATACTACTTGATAGTAATGGGGTGGTGAAGCTTGCTGACTTTGGTGTCTCAGCTTGCATGTTTGACAAAGGAAATAGACAACGTTCAAGAAATACTTTTGTAGGGACTCCATGCTGGTGAGAGATATTGACAAAGAACTGAATTTGTTTCTACTTTTCTCTTCTTTACATCTGGTAAACTTTCAAAAAATCATGTGTATTAATAATTTACAGGATGGCTCCAGAGGTGTTGCAGCCAGGGAGCGGATATGATTTCAAGTGAGTATTTTCCGTCACCACAGATGCCATTTTACTAATTTAAGGTTTTAGTAGTATTAACATTACCGCCTTTATATATTCAAAAACTTACTCAACCTGAATAGGGGAATGCTTTAAGCATTTTTTTACATCACAGGATACTTGTTCAGTTGTTTGACTCCTTAAATTTGCACCAACTCCTTTAAATGGAAATATTTGTCAAAATGGCTACATGCTGGTTTCCAAGAGTACTTAACAAGAGAGGTATCAAGAATAGCAAAATGCTTATTCCAACTTTAGAGAATTAGTTTGTGTTGGCCTTTATATTGCTATGTTTTTTTTTTCATTGCTATAAATAATGAAATCTGTAAGTTATTTGAAACTTCTTTTATTTAATTAATAGAAATGTTCTTTTTATTTTTTTAATTTTTTTTTCCCGGGTAAATTTTATGAATTGAGATGTTGTATTTCTAAAAAGAAAGAAAGTGTCTGTGCACACATTCTACAGCCCATGTATCTAATGATGTCGTTCCGGTTAGGTGCAACATAGACATATATGCAGTTGTATGCTAGAATTTAAGTCCATGTTGCAGAAGAAGTTGTCGTCGTTGTCATCATCCTTGCCTTAATCCCATATGAATGGGGTCGGCTACATGAATCTTTTCTTCCATTCTTTTCTGTAACAAGTCACCTCTCCTCTAATATTTAAAATTTTAAAGTCATTTCTAATGATTATATCGCATGTTAATTTCGGATGCTCTGTCTGCCTCCTATGCTCTATGCAAATTATCCTTCGTCTTCTCACCGGTACATTTATAGGTCTTTTGTATATATGTTGCAGAAGTGTTAACACAATTAGATTCCTACTCAACTAGAAGTGCCTCGTTATGCATGCTAGCTAAAAGCATAAAATCACCAACACTGGGGCATTAAAGATTTTTAGGTTTCCAACCTGAGTTCTAAAAACCCTTTCATCAGTCACATTGAAGTCCTGAAATCTTTGCCCATTCATAACCTCCTAGCAGCACGAATGTCTTTTAATATGCCTTTTCCCCTCTATGGATCAATGGATGATGAGATCTAGGAGCTGCTGACAAATATTGACATAAAAACTTCTCAGGCCTTGCCAAACGGCAGAGTTGAGAGTTAAAAAAGAGGGAACAAGTTTTTGGAGGATCATTCTTTAATCCCAGTTTGGTTTAGGAATTTAGTTGGCATCATGGTAGAGTCTACTTGTGAGTAATAATTAAAGGGGTTGACAAAGGTTATATTATATTGTATATTTGCCAATTTGTTCTTAGGAATCTCTCTTCGCTCTCCTTTCCTCTGCTGGTTTGTTCCATGCTTCAACTTATGAAGATTCCCTGCTATTCACTTTAAAAAAAAAAAAAAAAAAGGCAAAAAGAAAAAAGAATGATCTTTGGGAACTGTTGTGTTGATTATTATTACTTCTATTTTTTTTTTTTTCTTGTTTGTGTTCAAAAAATTCTCAAGTCGCTTTGTTATATTTGGATTGTATTTGAAAAAGAGTCTATTTAACAATAAGTTCTCAGAATCATTGCTTCTAAGTAATGGTGGATCAGAAAATTCATGCTCTATTTTTCATTTTTTATTTGTGGGAAGGGAGGCAACGAAGTTGTGGAAGGCCATTACCCAGTATGGTTCCCTTCAACTGAGGAAGCATTCTGAATAAAAAAGAATAAAAGACATTTTATCTAGAACAGATGGTGCGGTAGGGGCAGAGGGAATTTCCGGTGTTGGGCATGCGAAATATCTATGCACCAACTTGAGATCCTAATTTCCGGCCTAATTCTTCTTCTGATGATCGATTCAACCTCTGATCATTAACTAGTGTAAAATTTTATTGGTAATTTCATAGGTTAACAATGTTGATGACAATGATGAAGAACCAACTAAATATTGGATTGGTGTGAGTTGTCTTATTCATTTAAATTTATATTCCAAAATAATGAATATGAAGAGCAATACCTAGAAAATATGCAATGGTAGTGGGATTTTGAAGGGGCTGGGACTTAATAATTGAAAATTGGTGAGGGGTATTCAGGGAAAAAAAAAAATTGGTGAGGGCGAAACAATCATGCAGAGGCTGCTTTACATTATAATTAAATCGTGGGGCATGGAATAGTAAAGGGGTACAATGCAATAAAAAAAGAATAATGGGGTTTAATGCAACAAAAGAAAATTCTTTGCTTGGTTTCCATGCTTGACCTTGGGTTCGGAGATTCAATCAGTTGGATGCTTAAGACACATATCATACTTGATACACATAACCAAGTCCATAGCATAGCTTGGGGTCTTTTTGAGATAACTTGGGGGAATGGATGGGATGGAAAGAGGTTATTGACTTTAGGTGTACTCTTGCAATTAATCATAAAAATAATAACTTTTCCAGATTCCTGCACCCAACCGCCTCTCTTGTACACCACTGTGTATAGGTGTGACATTTCATTGACCATCTACCTACCACGATATTGCCCTTTCTTTCAACTTAGTACCAGCTGCATATTATGTTGATTGCCAAATTTCGACATTTGAAGGAACTATTGATGGATCTCTATAATGTCAATTCATATACCTTGATTTTGATTTGGTTTTTAGTCTGTTTAGTGCCATATACGAACTCCAAGTTTATGTTTTCACGAAATAAATTCGACAACATATATGAGAAGCACAACATTGCCAAATATAGGTTTATAATTTGGTTACCTATACCATCATTTTATTTTGCAGGGCTGATATCTGGTCTTTTGGAATTACTGCATTGGAGTTGGCTCATGGTCATGCACCCTTTTCGAAGTACCCCCCAATGAAAGTCTGTACTTTTACCTATGAGAATTCAAAAAAAAAAAATTCACACAGATGCTGCATGTACTTGAGAAGGCTTTCATGGAAACTACTGTACTGCGGCAAATAACATATTTCTACTTTTCTTTTGCCATAGGTTCTCCTAATGACCATTCAGAATGCCCCTCCTGGACTTGATTATGACCGTGATAAAAAGTTCTCTAAGGTATCAGTGTTATTTCTGGCTAGTGAGTGTTTCTGAGACTACCATATGTTGTTCACTCTTATGTGCATAACATAATTTGAATGTTAAATCACGTTTGCAGTGATGCCTGGTCTATAAGTTGGTTCATGAGGCTTCAATCATAGTTGCTTTGTTGCATCAATGATTTTATAGATTGATATTTTACTTGAAGAATTTCCAGTTATGAACAGTCTTCTAAGAGATAGTTGCAATGTGCTTGGTGAAGGATTTTGTGTCATATTGTTTATAAATTGAAATTCTAAATAAATGATTTCCAGTTGTGAACAGTCTTTTAAAGAAATGGTTGCAATGTGTTTGGTGAAAGATCAAACAAAGAGGCCAACTGCAGAAAAATTGTTGAAACACTCCTTTTTCAAGCATGTTAAACCTCCAGAGCTTTCTGTAAAGAAAATCTTTGCGGAGTTGCAACCATTATGGAACCGTGTCAAAGCCCTCCAGGTATCCTATCATGGTTTTATGGAATGGATCTCTTACTTCTGCAGCTCCACTTGTCTTGGTATATTTGTTCAATAAACTTACCAAATTATGCAGCTTAAAGATGCTTCACAACTAGCTTTGAAGAAAATGCCTTCAGCAGAACAAGAAGCAAAATCACAGGTTTGGGACATTACTCAAAGTAATTGTTCGGATTAAGATTGCTTCTCATCTGTTCAAGTTTCCTCTATTATATTTCTTGTGTTCACATGACATTGTACTTGTTTATAGACATCGTTAAGAGCAGAGCTATACCTACTTGCCATCTTTCAATTGATCGAGCCCCCAAAATCATAGCTCCATGGTTTTGTTATTCATGATTAATCCAGAGAGCGTCTTCCACTTGGCCCCAAAACTCCAAACCATCAGAGGCAATCTGATTGAATTAGAAATGAAAAACCATTTTCTTCCATAAATTAAACCAGAAGCCCTTAATTCATTTAGCTATTCCAAAGGTAAGCACCACCAAGATGAAATAATAACCTTTGATAATAGATTTAGGGTTTCAAATAGGAGGGTTTACCTCTCTGTAGATGACTCAGCATCTGCACTGTCATTGACAAAGTATTTAACGAATTTTTTCCAATGCAACTTGTTCTTGCCAATTAATTAACTAATTAACTCTACTCCATAACTTTAGTTACAGTTGCGTCATCTGTATAGATGATTGCATTAGCACCTTCTTGTTTGAGACTGCAATTGGAAACTAAAACGTCTTGTAGCTAACTTCTCTATGATATGAACAAGCAGCCCTTTGTTTAAAAACGGTGGTTTAGCCACCTTGTCGCTTTGCATTTATATTTATATGTAGATTAATAGGCGAAGGAAGCACTGTCACTGAAGGGGCTTATTACATGCGCTGTTGCTGCTTTCACTATGTCAACACATCAAACACACCACTCAACTTAACAAAGTCTAACCCCAACTCTTTGGGATCAATACGTTAAACATGCTTCGACTTAATTTGCACTTGATTGGGTGCTTATTGATCCCTGGAAAACGACAGGTACTACAATGTTCTCTATAACTTTGTGGAATCTTGTCATTTAAATACTTGCGTAACATCTATGATATCGTATACATTTCTTGCATCAAATAAAAATTAAATAGATCAAATGAATTTGGGGATTTTGTTAGTAAGCGGAATCTAGACTTAATTTCGATTCTTTATTTCGTACTTCGTTTTCTCCATCCTTTTTTTTTTTAATGATAATTTTTGGCTTTTCTTATCAGAGTGAGTATCACAGAGGTGTTAGTGCCTGGAATTTTGATATAGAGGATTTAAAAGTCCAAGCATTGCTGGTATGTCACATTTTAATAATTTTCAAATGCCAATATGCTCCACATAATCTTGAGTAATTTGCTTCTTAAATTTTTATTTTTTATTTTTTCTCCTTAATGGTGATTATGAATGGACCCCCACCTACCTGGCAGGTGCAAGATGATGATGAAATGCAAGAAATTAGAGAAGAAGTTGAGAGCATGAAATCATTTGTTAACAATAAGGTCATTGAAATTTTTTCATCTTTATAAATATTTATTTTATTTAAAGCTGTTCAAGTTTGCTAGATTACGTGCTGCTTCTTGATATTCAATTTATGCCTAATTTTACTTGAAAATTTTTATTCTAAAGAAATAGCTTATAATCTACTTTTATTATGCAGGGTGCATATAATTTAAGATCTAGTATTGGGAAATCAAGTTCCACAACTGACCTAATTTGCAGGTAAATTTTCTGTGGCTTTATCAGCACTCACACCTTGCAAGTCCATTTTGGTTTTAGTTGTTGTGCTCAGAATCGTATTTATTTTCAATTTAGTTTTATTGTTCTCGCATTCATTAAAATCCGGTTATTATGTGTTTTACAGCTAACCATTGTCGTCATCATCATTATCATTATCATTATTCTTGCCTTGATCCCAGCTATATTTGTGATAATTTTTTATATAATGCCTGTGAAAGGGAGGATAAAACAAAAAGTTCTTCTTTATTATTTATGTTGGTATAATTCATTTTAGTGTTAAATCAAACAGTTTTTGGAATGGTTCTGTAATGGATGGAATCACATACATGTTACGTAAATTACCTCTAGAGAAGTAACTTGTTGATTTCGTGATCTTTTAAGATGTCCATAATTCACTCCTTTTGGATTAAAATGTCTAATTTATGGTATCGGCCTCAGAAGAATGACATATTTTCAGGTTTTCTTCGAAGGCAAAACATAGCTGACCCATTCGTTGACATTAATGGATGGATTTACTTCTTGATGCAAATAATAATTAATAGCCTTGAAAAGTGTCTAAAAGTCAGTCTAGAGAACTGAAGTGTCATTAATAGTAGTATTATAAAAGGGACAGTCTTGTATATCTGCTGTAATTAAGTCATAATCAATATCAATTTCAGTTATTTTCAGAGTATAAACTTCCCTTAAGGCTTGTCCCAGATTTCCCTCAAGAAATCTAGACTCCAACGGTGATTGGAGTATTTCTAGTCTTCTTTATTATTGTAAGAAGACTTCTGCTCATCCCATCCCAAACCCAATGAGCGGGAATCCTTTGCTTTTAGTAAGGTTCTTGTTCAGGCAATCTGTAGTTGTCTTTTTAAATGATCATATAATATGGGATTGGTTAGTGTTTGGTTGTATTCACTACTGAAACCAACCTCCACTTAGAGGAGGCGGGGGTGGTGATACTGATCCTTCTGTTCTTATTTGAACTCTATAGGGTGGAAGTTTTTGCCCCTTGGTAAGATTCTTGTATTCAGATAATCATTACATTTTTGTTTTCAGTTATCATATAATATGGATTTTTAGTGTGTGGATGTCTTCATTAGTTCGTAGACTGTGTGATTTAATACTATAGTTATTAGAAATATATCTGCAGATGTAAGACTAGCCTCCAGTACTGCTACTATGTAGCTTAAAGTATGCTAATAGATAAGAAGTACTGTTAGTATAGTGCCTGGGCAACATGAGCTAACCTTATATTTGTCCTGGATATCATCACTCAGAATGTAGTTTATTCTAATTACCTAATCTCTGTCATGGCTCTCTCCAATCTGCATATCTGTTTCCAGAACCATGTTTCTGCAGTGTTCTGTTTTATGCAGGTTTCGTTGACCAAATTCCTCTTTAAGCTGTTATTCAAGATTCTAAACAGTAGTGTCTTGCTTGTGAAATTTTTTGAGATTTGGCTTATGATTCTGGTGAATTGTTTTTTTTTCATGACTTTGGGATTCAAGTATTCAACTACTCCATGTTTGATATTATATAGTCACTCAGGACACTTACTTGTCAGCATATTAGACTTGAAACCTTGGATCTTTCGTGAGAATGAGATCCATATATTTTGCCTCAAATGGCATTTGTTCTTTTCGACCATACAGAGTCCTGATTTGGTAAACTTTCTGCAGCATTTTTAGCACTAGTATAATATTCATCCAGTTTTAGTGCTTACTCCAATACACTTGCAGATAATGGTAAATTCATTCTATTATGGAAAGGCACATGTTTTGCAAGTTTTAACTTGATCAAGGCATTACAGCTGCAGCACAAATGTGGTTGAACTGGATATTCAACTCAATAGCCTTGTTCCCCTTATTTTGGGATCAACTAAATGAATCTTGTTTTACCATTCTACCTTGTATAGGATGGTTACTTCATTCAAATGTGCAATGCCATGTCTTCCCATAAAATATCAATTACATGAACCTTGTCACTCTTCCTTACTATTGCAGTTATTCATCTTTGTTGGATATGGCCAAACTATCTCGATTAATGTTTTCTCATTTTATCTCTATTTGATACTACTTTTACCATCACATAATTGTATCCGCTTCTAATTATATATCTTTTTTTTTATTTTTATTTTTTATTTTGTCTTATCACACATTGATCTTGATATTGCATCTTTGATGCACTTGTGTGATGAATATGTTGTTTCATAGAGGCACCGCATCTGTCCTAAATATGATTTGCCTTTTAGTTACTTTATAGAAAATTTCTTTTAGCTTCATATGCATACATCGATCAAGCAATATGCAGAAAGCAATTATCTGCTTAATTTGTCTTGCTTTACTTTTATGACCATGGCACCTCTAATCTCCTCACTACGAATAATTAAGCTGGATAACGATACTATTCAATTGATGGGATCTCTTGATCTTAGGATTCCGCTGCTTCTCAAATATATTTTTAGTTCTGTCTAAAATTACTTTCCAGTATTCTGTGTTTGTCCTGCTTGGCTGACCTAGATAATAGAAAGTATTCTTCTATCCAATTAATCTTATATAAAAATGCATTTTTTCCCTAATTGAGATTGGTATTCAAAGATATATAACTTCTTTTTTTTTTTTTTTTTAAATTCTAAAATTCTTGTATGGCCCGATGACAGCTCAAGTTCCAAATGTGCTTTTTTTTTTTTCCTCTTCACCTTTTCTGTGGGAGTGACATATATCTTTTACTTAGTTTATTGTATTTTAATTGAAGTTCTTCTCTTAAATATTGGAAATTTGTCGGTATTCTGTTCAGGATTTAATTCTGTTCAGGATTTAATACACTTCGGCACATTGTCACTGTTGGGTTTCCTATTTGTCGTCCATGCATATGCAAGGTTTCTATGCATTTGTGTATTCGACTCTGTGCATTTCTATTCTAAATTTACTTCTATTTGTGACATACTATTGTTCCAGTAAAAAGGGAAAAGTTCCGGAAAGTGATTTACTGGAGTCTGACAATCAAGGGAAAACTGGTCTGGAGAAAAACAGATCAAGAACTGAGCTGCTACCATCAACCTCAGAGAAAATTGCTGTACAAGCCAAGACTAAAACTTTAACAGGGAAGAGTCATCAGACTCAGAGTGGGCCACTCATACCCGGTCGTGTGCTAAGTCATTCAATGTCTGAAAGGGAGCGTAATTTTGACAGGTCCATCCTAGTTCAATACTTGTTTTATCCATCTAAAAAATGTTGCATGGTTATGTTGAAATAAGCACAGATTACTATTCTTTCTCCTCCGCACCCCCCCCCCCCCCCCCGGGCGAAAAACACACACACACAAAAGAAACCAATGTTTGTGTAGCGTAATTGTGTATGAATGCACCCCTGTATAAATTGTATATATTGTAACTATCAGTTTTGAATGAAGAAGGAGAAATGATTCTGTTACTTTTTATCCAAGTCCTAGTTTACAACTGTAGTAGCTATCAGAATGGATGTGGAGCTGCGCATAAAGTGTGGGAGTGAAGAAACATTCTATTTATTTGGATATCTTTACTCTGATAATATTGCCTATGCATTATTGAGTACTATTATGTTGTGGGGATAGAAAATAATTCTAAATAGTTCGTAAGTAAAATACTGAAATATTGTGCTCCATTGAGCTTTTCTATATGACAGTTCTGGTTGTGGTGTTGTTTGGATGGGGGATTTGGACATTAAGAAAGGGAATATTAGTTTGTATAGAATGTAAGAGACAGCAAGGCAACTAGCATGTAATGTAGTAATGAAAAATAACTTAATTTTTTTTTTTTTTTTTTATACTAGAGGATACATGGTGTATAATAGAATAGTATGGAAAAATAGAATTCATATGGCTGACCCTATTCATTTGGGAAAAAGGTGAGGATGATGATGGTTTGGACATGGCATTTATTGTTTTCTTGGAAGGTCATAATGCTATACTGGGTGATGGGATTTCATGCGTAATCAAAATTAGTCTTTGTCGGTTTTTCTTTCAAAGCAAAAAAACATTTAAATATGAATAAGAGGTGCAGCCTGCATTACTCTATTGTTTGAACTGTTATACATCTGCCTATCGTACTACAATAAGAGTGTAAACAACCTATCATACTGTAATACGAGTGTAATTCACATGCACAAACACACACACACACACACACACACACACACACACAGAGTTTGTGTGCGTAAGTGATCAACCAGGCATATTTTTCGTTTATTATTAGGTGGGAGATTGATAACCAACTGCCAGTTGAGAAAGTTCAACGCGAAGTACGAAGAGCGCCAAGCTTTAGTGGTCCATTAATGCTTCCAAATCGAGCTTCAGGAAACAGTTTATCAGCTCCCATAAAATCTTCAGGAGGTAACAAATTTGTTTAATTTGCAATAAAGACATATTACCACCAAATCTACTACTACTATTACTACAATGTAACTTTAAAACTATTTCTTTTTGTGCAACGTGTTACACGATTTTCTCATTAGCTAATAAGAAATATTGTAGCTTTTAATATATATATATATATATTTTTTTTTTCTCCAATAGGATTCAGAGATTCTTTTGAAGACAAGTCGAAGGCCAATTTAGTGCAAATAAAAGGGCGATTCTCAGTAACTTCAGAAAATGTAGATCTTGTAAAGGTAAGCACTACAAGAAAAATAAATATTTACTGGTTGCAAAAAATCCTGTAAATACTTTTTGCAAGGTTCAATTGTTGTAAATTTCATTTACTGCACTCAAAAATCCCTTTTAATTACCTTCTGGTATGCGGTAAACATTCTTTTTGGATATGGTAAATAGTTTTTACCGCATTTTTATTAAACACAATTTAAAACTATTTTAGAATATATATATAATCCCAAAAGGGTGCTTGCTTGCTCTAAATTGAGCCAAAGCAAACAGATTACATATGCGATCATCACCTGGAAACAAATTAGAACAAAAGTAAAAAAGGTAATAACACTAGATTGGTAACTAGTCTACACAAATATTACATTTTCAAAGCATGTAATATTTCATAAATCTCTTACTATAATTCTTCACTCATATTCCAAAATCATTTTCATGGGAGCTAATCCAACTCAAGCTCTCAATATGTTCTCAAGCATTGCCCTCTGCTTCCACAGAGCATTCACCGCTGGTTTGCCTCACAGTACCTAGTTTTCCAAAAAACACAGCCATGGTGGATAAATACCACCACATACAAAATCGCAAGTGCGATCAAACATATATATAATTAAGAGCTACCTATGGCCTTTATGCCTTCATCATTTTGAAAATCCAGGAAAAATTACTAGTGTCGATGCATATATCAGAAAGATATCTGTGCATAATATATGTTTTGAAATATCAAGTCTTCGGGAAGACATGTGCATAGGGAAGAACACAGAGCAGCTCAAAAAATGCAGATATAGCAAAGAATAGAACTGTGAGAGACAATATAGAACATTTTTAACCAAAAAGTAACCAAAAGAACTAGAAAGTTCTATCGGTCTCTTTAAATCGTAAGTTTTAGATATCCATAACATACATTAAGTAAAATTTTAAAACTTCAGGAAAGGAAGTAGAATACTTTATGTAAATAGGGATGTCAAATGAAGTATACGCTTTATGCATTCGACATCCCAGGTGCAGAAATAGGTTACTACACACTTACGCTGAAGATTTAGCAAAGAAGATTCAAATTTGAATTAATCTCGTTGATTGAGCTCAAAACCTGCAATTTTGAAATCAACTATCATGAACTTTCTCCAGTGTAGATATAGCAATCGTAGATTCAGGGCAGCACCCACCCTGCATCGTCAACACACTTCCAAGTTATCCACATTTCTGGATCAAGAAAATCAGATGTCATATGTCATATGTCAAAATGGATGTCAGCATAAAATGATGAATTTCGTGAGGTAATTAACTTTCTCTTCAATGATATGTTGATACCATCAGTACCTTGATTCCTCATTGCAGCTATAACAGCTAGCTGTTGTTTTTTTTGCTCCCTTAGCACCTTGCTTAGATGACTTCAAATATGCAAAACAAGATGGCCATTAACAAATTCATAAATTATATTAACTACAGAATCCTATACAATAGAAAAACAAAATAAAGTCAGTACATACTTTTGCAGGGCTAGACATGATACCACTGGCACTTCGATTCCGCATCTCAGCTATAACAGCTAGCTGTGGTTTTTTATTTTTTATTTTTTTTACTCTCTTAGCACCTTGCTTGGACTACTTCAAATATGCAAGACAAGATAGGCAATAAAAAATTTATAAAATTGAACTAACTAGAGAATCCTATAGTGTAGAAAAATACAATAAAGTCAGTAATTACTTTTGGAGGGCTAGACATGATCAATTAACAAGATATCTAGTGAAGGATGAAAGCACATGCACTGGGAAAAAATCATAAGAAGTAGATTTGCTGAATTATATATTAACAAATAATCATAGGAAGTAGATATGCTACATAAAGGACACTAACATAAACAAGTATTTTGGACTTGTTGTATATCATTGTTGTGATGACCTCTGTGGGCAAGTGTGATGTCAAGACACTAGACGAGTTACCACACTGGTAGGCTACAGGGTATTGTGATCCCACATTGCATGGGTAAGGTGAAGTGCTATATGTAAGGTTCAACACCCTTCCATGACACAACACGTTTTAAAGTTGTGATGGCCGTCTACCCATCAGAACTCCAAAGTTAAGCATGCTTACTGTGGAGTAGTACCAGGATGGGTGAACCTCTGGGAAGTCTCTTGTCCGGGGAAGCCAAAAGCGGACAATATTGTCATATTGTGTCTGGGTAGGGTGAGGGTTGTTACAAATGGTATCAGAGCCGAACCTAGCTGGAAGTGTGGCCAACGAGGACTTGGGCCCCCACGGGGGGTGATTGTGATGATGACTTCTGTGGGTAGGTGTGATTTGGGCGGGTGCGAGACACTGGACGAGTTATCACGTTGGTAGGCTGCAGGGTGTCATGATCCCACATCGCCTGGGGAATGTGAAGTGCTATATGTAAGGTTCAACACCCTTCTATGACACAATGCCTTTTAAAGTCGTGATGGCCGTGAACCTATCAGAACTCCAAAGTTAAGCGTGCTTACTATGGAGTAATATCAAGACGGATGACCCCCTGGGTAGCCTCTGGTCTGGGGGAGCTAAAAGCGGACAATATTGTGCCCGGATAGGGTGAGGGTTGTTACAATTGCAATCTGAACGATAAACAGTAATTAAAAAGGAATGCAGGCAGCTTTGTTCTCAGAAGATGGTAGAACTAACTTGGGTATTTGAGAAGCGGTTGTATACCTTGGGTAATGGTTGTTACAATTGCAAGTGTTATACCTTTTCTTGTTGCATCATCGCTGAACACATTTCCTGTTAAGGTGGATATGGAAACAGCTACCAAAACAGAAACAAAAAAGAAAACAACCAACTTCATAAGGAAAGAACAAAAATAATAAGTGCAGAAATCAATCAAAGAGATCAAACTATGTGCTATAGACCCACAAAAATTCAGTAACTAAAAGAAATCTCAAATGACTTCAGAGCCTAAGACAAGTATTTTGAAATGGAATAAATATAATAAAAGAGAAAAAAAAAAAAAAAAAACCCATTATCGAAAAACTCAATTATCTTTAGTGGTCTACACACAGTCACATGCACATATGTATGTATGGCTTTTCGTTTCCTCGTGTTTGATTTTCCAAGTATTTCTCACATCTGATTTTGGTTGATCTTATTCAAAATTCGATTTTTTTTTTTTAAATTCTAATTCTATATATATATATATATATATTTTTTTTTTTGATAAGTATATTCTCTCTTAAGGTTCGACACCGAGATTGTGTTGAATTGAAAATTTGTGAAACGACTGTTTTATGAATCTTCCTGCTAAAGAATTGGCTTTGCAAACAATTATACCTTAAACAATGGAATGCCTACAATTCATGAAATTTCACCTGTGAAAGAACTGCGAAAGAACTTCTGCTAGGGCTTCAATTGACAATGGACACTAGGTTTCGCTCATGATCTGGAGTTTGTGTACAGCCGCTAGCGTTTCGATCAACAATAGATGCTAGGTTTTACTCATGAACTAGGTTGTGAAGGGAATTGGAGAAGATAACTTACTATTACTAGAGTTCTTTGGAACAATTGCCAACTAATAGATAAAAAAAAGTGAATTTTGTTAAGTCTTCAACCACGTGCTTTCGTTTATTTCAAATTAGGAAATACAATGTGAATTTAATGTGGTTAATATTAAGGGGAAAAAAAAATATAGTAATTTTTTTTAAATACCATTTCTTAATATACCACATTCTAAAATTTGATATAAGTAAATAATAAATTTTTTACAAGGTTTCATACTCAAATGCGTTGAATAACATGTTGCATATACTCATTTTTGTTGTAGTGAAGGGTCTATGCTAATGGTAATTTGTTTTATATTAAGTGACTGTTGCTAACTTAAATATATATTTTAGGACATTACATTATGTACAGTTCCTCAACTATCTTCACAGGTAACTTGGCAAACGTTGCAACAGTCTTTTTATAATAATTTCATTTGGGTGTCTAGTTCTTCCTTGATATTGTATTCATGTGATTTTTAGGGGTCACCATTCAGGAAGTCTGCCAGCGTTGGTAACTGGATATCTGATTCCAAGCTAATGGTTTGTGTACTGATCTCATAGATTTCTTTGTGATGCAGTCCACTTAAAAACCGTAGATTTTTTAGTTGCCTTCATTTTCTTAGGTTGTATCAGCTTAAGTTGCAATGAATTTAAATTATTCTGTAAATAGAAAATGATGATTGTTGTTTCTGATATGCACACAAAGGCGCACACAGGATATTTCTTCTTGTGTTGCAGAGACATCAGGTTGATACTTGGCATCCTGAAGTAATACTATACTTTTGTCAGTAATTTTAGTAGTTGTATGGAATGGATATATAGTACTATACTGAAGTAATGTCTTTAATCTTGTTTCTAGTGGTTATCTTATACTTATTAAACTGGCTACATGCTGAATGACCTGCCAAAATTTAACGTCACATTCAGAACTGATTTTTTTTCTTTCTCATCCCCTTCCTTCCTAATCATTGCACTCTGCAATGTAATCTTGCATTGCTAATTATTTTTCCAGCCTCCCAGTCAGTCATCGAAGGAAATTAGCAACAGCAATGTATCTTTATCACTTCTCATGCCCCACCTTCAGAACCTTTTTCAGCAGACGTCAATTCAACAGGTAAAGGCAGGGTTATTTAAATAAGCTTCTTGTTTGATTCTCGAGTGGAAAGTACTTTGGAAAACTTAAATTTTAGAACCATGGACATTCCTATTACAATTGATGTTGTAATACCAGGATACCATTTTGAACCTGCTGAATGGCTTGCAACAAGTGGAGGTCATTGATGGTATGTGGAAGGTCCATCATTATGATTTTTAATGTGGAAACATTAGTGAAACAGATTCTGAGTAAGCTATATTTAATTATCTTGATTTTGTTTCAGCTTCTCAAAATGGAAAGTTGCCTCCATTACCCCGCAGTTCTGAGAATAATGGAACTGTAAGTATATTTTCCTTCTACATATTATGGCTTTAGTTGATTTCAGTGCTTAAAGTATTCTTTCTTTGAAGGATCTCTTGGTGATGCACACTCGTATGTCTTTAGGTATGCAGGAGCATGCCCATGTCGTAAGGTCTTACCTCTTAGTAGTAGTGGTAAACATTCTTAGGTTCAAGGTCACGAACACTTGGAGGGTTTGGACTTAGGATCTGTATGCTCCTGTCTGATTAGTAGTACCATGTTTGACAAATACCTGCAATTTGCAGGGGTCTGTCTATATTGTCTAACACCTTTGTATGTCACCATTCTCCATAACTTCTATTTTATGTATATGATGCAGCATATCCTCTTGTAGAATACTGTCCTACTTTTCTTTTTTCACCTTATTGTGAGATGATGAAATCACCACAGAATTGTTCAATTTGTTTCTTGTTGGTCAGACTTTAAGTGACAAGCATCGCTTATTTATGTTACCTATCAACTTCTTCTCTATGGTTCATAATTCATTTCTGGAAGATCTGGCATCTTTATAGACATTTCTTTCCTAGACAGTTGGACTGAATATCATGATCAATCATAGGTGAGAATTTTTATAATAATTATTATGTTATTATTAGTTGCTCATTCCACAGGTTGAGTCTGCAGTTTCTGAAAGGGAGCATGCCATGCTTATCAAAATTTCTGAGCTTCAAGCCAGGTTAGTCAACAAATAATGCTGTTGAATCTTGTTTTAACTTTGCTGAGGAAGTTTATCTAATGCTCTCTCTCTCTCTCTCTCTAATTTTGCAGGATGACTAACTTGACTGATGAGTTGACAGCTGAAAAACTAAAATACATACAAGTGAGTTGCTTTGAGAGTTTCACATTTCTGCTGGTCTTTATAAATTAGCTCTGAAAAATACAGTTTTGAGTGGTTTGTAAAGACAATTTTCTCTTGCTGGTTGCTGACTTGGGAGTTGGGATATCAAATTTGATAATAAGTAGTGGACTTTTGCCTCCTAGGTTCCTAGCAATACTTTTGTACCAACCCGAACCCGAGGGTCCGAATCCCTAACCGGGTCCTTACCCGAACCCGAGGTCAACTAAGGACACTGCCGTCATTTCCTATGTCAATACATAATTTATGTGTCATCCCAGGGTTTATACAAAACAAGTGAGATCACAAATATAAAAGATGATAAAACAGTCCACTAACCCATTCAAACCTATGGAAGAATGTCGTCCGCTACTTTCTTCCCGTGACCTGAAAAATGTTAAAATGATGGGGTGAGCATAAAGCTCGGTAGGAAGCGTTTAAGACACACCTCTTACGACCCCGTGAATCCATACAATGAATAGGATGCGAGAGAACGGGATCATATCTCGGAAAAAATAAGCAAAATAACGGTTTGACATTGCATGGCATGGCATTTCATTGACATACATTGTACACTTGGTGATTGGACGACTTGCGTATGTATCCCCATTTCCGAAACACTACCATTTCAACTTCCAAACCGTTAGTGTAATCCGACCCAAGGCACCTCCAACGCGTCACGAAAGGAGGATTGGCTAACCATCCACGACCACAAAGCATCTCCAAGGCTTCGTATCCGGCCTAGTTAGCTCAACCACGCTAGGGTCTTTCCGTAGTCCCCTCTAGACCACACTAACACTACGGACCACTAGGCACCTCCTAGGCTTCCGGTTTTCACAAACACTTTTCAAAAAAACACTTTTCCCAAAAATAATTTTCATTTGTTTTTAAAACAAACTTTTCCTTTTACTTTCCCAATGGCAATGCATGAATTATGCAATTTCTTTAATGCCATGACAATATAGAAATGTCATACATATCATCCACATCATTTAAGCATGTTTAAAATATGAATTTCCATACAATATTGCATTCTCATATTTCTGAATCATGGCATTTTACATATTTTAAATTCGCAAATCCAACAATTAAATTCTACAAATTCCATCGTCATATTCACATTTTAAGAAGAAATTCTAAACATTTATTTCCACAACTAATAATCCCAAATTTACATAGCAATTGGCAAACATTTTACATACAAGTTATTATTATTGAGCATGCTTTTCATCACAACAAATTAATTAAGTTCATAGACTCAATTAACACACCACACCACTTATCATCATGAACACAACCAAATACAATCACCATATTTAAAATAACCAAAACTAAGCATGCTTATAACCAACTTTAAAAAGGAAAATTCACAAAGAATCAAAGAAATTGTGAATTAGAATACCCTAACTTATGTCCAAATTTTTGAAATCCCTAGGTTGGCCAAACAAGGATTTGCTCCTATCAAAGCGTAGATCTCAACGAGCTCTCCGATTTACCTTAAAAGGTACCAACAAATTCTAGAAAATGAGGGAGAAATCAAAGCTTGAAGCTTTGTAGAAAAAGAAAAGAAAAAAGGAAACGAAAAGAAAAGAGAGATTTACGTAGAGAGAGAGAGAAACTGATGGTTGCATATGGCCATTAGGCCTTTTGAGATGATTTAATGAAATGGTGGGGCCCACTTGCTTTTAAATTATCTCTTACCATTTATTTTTCACCACAGATATATGTATATATATATCTTTTAAATCCAAACCACACAAATTAATATACCACTATGAACTTGTGCAAAAATAACAATGCATGAAATGTAATAGACCCGTGACGTAACTCCAATACATAACAATTCCGGTAGCGGGTCCCACCCGGGACCTTCCAGTCCGAAAAATAGAAAAATGCCAAGATGGAAACCAGTGCATTTCCAAGAGTCCAAAACTCAAGGAAATGCCCCAACCAACTCTCGGACAAATCCGGCACACCCCACGGTGTCCGGAACACAAAACGAGAAAAGGCGAAAATACCCTCAAAATTCAGAAAAAAAATTCCAGAAAATGGAAAAATGATAAAAATCGGAAATATTACAATCTACCCTCCTTAAAAGATTTTGTCCTCGAAATCTACCCTCCTTAAAGAAGGAGGCCCACAGTACACACCTCGAGAAATACCCTACAAGACCACAAGACTACGAGCTCGCCAACCTTATTGCCTTTGACACCAGATGTCAATAGGCAATCACACACCACTACGACTAAAACACAATGCTTATCACCCTATGAAGGTACTCATTACTCACGACATTAGAACACGAGACCAACTAGGCTCTACATCCGACTCTTAACGGACATTGGTCCACTCTACACTGCTACACAAGACTCCGAAGCCTGAAAGAAGAATGGTCACTAGACCACCGAACATGACAACATCCAATCTCAACTTCTCCTTAAAAGGACATACAAAACCCTAGACAAAGAACCCCGTCTATCTCACAATCAAGCTCAACTCTAATCTACAGATCTCTGTCAGACCAAACACTCGCTACCTAACACTTAACTACACCATCACATATCCGTACGACGACTACTAATCACACCAAGCGGCAATCACTAAACTTACCATCCTCAAGATGACTAAATAATGAATCTCCCAACGGCTACATAATCACGAGTCACTAGAACAATAAAACAAATTATCTTGTACCCAGGTCACAAATCCTCAAAACAAAATCTTCAATAGTTAATGGTTGTACCACAACCCTTTCTCAGACACTTGATCCTAGCTAACACACCTCGTCACCCGAGACAAATCATCTGAGTCCACACTGCCACACTGACACAACGCACAAAATTGTGCTCTCACTGTCACTAACAAGTCGAAACAATCATTGACCTTTGACCCGACATCGTGCTAAAGAGGGACTGATTCAAGAGAAATGGTTGGCCAGGCCATTCTCATCCTCGATTTGGCATTCTCATCCTCGATCCGGTTTCAGCACAGATGTCATTCTTGTCCTCAGGTCCAAGACCTCAAACACAACCCCGCACATTCCACAAAACAACCATAAGGTCCATTCACTTTCAATCCATCGTGCTACGTAATCCTTAACAGCTATACAGTCACATACTTACTCTAAAAATCCCAATCATACTTTAATCACATAACCCTTAACAAGTTAGAAACAACACAGCACCAAACGTCACAATCATCGACCAGCGTAAAAACTCTCTAGTGATCTCATATCACCTATATCAGGTAGACAACTCCATAACATCATTCAGTTCAATTCTTACTATTTCAAAACACACAATACGACCGTCCCATGCCTAAAACCTCAAAACCGAAGTCAATCACTCCTATTATTCCTTAATGGAAACACATATTCATTCTCTAGCTGCTTAGCACTCAAACAATACCGACACTTGTCCTCAAGACATTGCTTAAATCAAACATCAATAAAAACACCCTAGTACATGACTCACATCACATCACCTAATCATCCTCGAACGTACAGTTCACGACACATCCCTTACCCCTCACTGCTAGTACCAAACACCGGAAACGCACAATCTCTATTTGGCAACTCTTGCCTCACACTACCGATCAAGACCACTCTCAAAACAAGCAGCACCGAAACCAAAGACCCTACCTCCCTCTGTGGGAGTGAGTCGACCCAAACAACCAAACCTTTATCGGTGAACTTTAACAGCATAACAAACCACACATAGCTCCGTCCATCTGCGGATGTGCACAACTCCTAGATGGAGAACAAGACATACGGCAAACGACGTCCTTGTCAGTACTAGAATAAATGAAAGGGTAATGAACCCGCACTCGTCAGAGACTGACAACTCATACCTGAATGCACCTGACACCCTATCACACGCTACTCACCAATCGTCTAACCGTGGACACCCAATCTCACCTGAGATGAAATGAACTCCTTACACACAAGGAGGTGAACTAACCGAATACCCGTGCGGAACTATGAACACAAATCTAAGTGATATCGCCACTAATGGACCGTCATACACAATCAACATCGGAACCTCGCATACGCTACTCCGCAACACCCATGCTAACCAAAACCAATCAGATAAGAGCACCAATTGCCTACAGCGTACTAACAATAGGAACGATCACAGTGCGTTGGATACTACATCCCATTCTACCTAGAATCAATCACTCCCAATGACAACCTTTAAGCCATAAAATGACACTTTACCCCCCATTCCATCTCTACCTTCCTAGACGATGCTGCCTCGATCACCGTGCACACCCGACTCGTGACCTTAGTCACAACAACCCACTGACTCATCAAAAGAAAAAGGTGCCTATCTGGCAACATCGTCCTCATTGGCTCTAAAGACTAAGCTGCTCACCATCACCTCGACTGATACACAACCCCCATTACCTACCTGATAACATATAACAACAACTACTCTCCAATCCACCCTCTGATCATACCCCAAACCATTCTGCTCATCAATACTAAACATCATGCCATAACGCCTCTACTACCATCATCCTCGAATGACAACTCAAACCTCTCATCTCACCAGATCACCAAGTCACTATTAAGCAATTATTCTTATAACACCGTCATAACAAAAGAATAAGCATTACTTTCGATACCTCCCACAACAGCCACTAGTTGTTACCAGAAAAGAACCTCTCTACGGCAATGTCATGCCGACAAATCCCAAAGGAAAAAAAAATGGAGCACAAAAACTAAAATGTTCAACACCAAACTATCTCCTCAAAACCATCTACAACACAATCAGTCACCAACACTCAACCGGTTACTCGAACCACTCCTCCCGAGGCAATCTATGCGTCTAATTAAAGAAACCTCACACTTTAGGTTCAACACCATTACTTTTCCTCTTCACCATTCCTCAGAACACCCTTGGCCCCGACAAAAGTCAAATGGGGCTACCAACTAAACCTACGAGATCACCCTCTTCCCAAACATTCTAATAATCGGTCTATCTCTTTGGATTCTCAAACAACCAGTATTATCTCCTGATACCCCAGACACAATTGAAATACAACTCCAGTCCACATCCTTCAAATTCTAAAACATGGTCCATTTGGTAACACAGTACCTACCATCAATCACTTCATCTGCAAACGACCAAATATACTAATGATCACATACAACCTGCCTTATAGTGCAATTCTGCACTACACAACTAAAACTGACCACTATACACCACCTCGAGACTTTCTCGACAACCTATAATCCCGCTCATCCACCAAGCCATGCAATCAACTCACTGAGAGTTAATTATCGGCAACACGCTCCTGTAGCTTCCCGAAATGGGAATCACCCCTCGATAAACCAGTCTCTAAGGCACACTCTTACAACCTACGAACTGAATCACATCAAATAATTGATCAGCCGGCATTGGCATGACTCCGGTCTATGCCTATGCCTATGCCAAACCAGACCTACTAAGTCCAACAAATCCCACAATCATAACCAACACGCTTCTTCGGACTGTACCAGAATACTCGAAATACACGTCTACAACCCATAGACTACATTCGTGACTCAAACAACCTCTGTCACACTACCACAACCGGTTCGAAAAGAACTTCCGCACCAAGCCGTGACCCAAGTCACAAACACTAACCTCCTTAGGTCGTACCTTTCTCCCTCGAAACCCTCACTCGCACCCCTGACCTCCACGGTCACAGGAACCCATCCACCAATGCATGAAACTCACACACAACAAAGACACCATGCCATGAAATATGAACCCGTTCTAAAGTCGTGCTCTAAGCACCGCATAAAATGCAACAAGAAGATCAAAATGAATACACACCAAATAGGTCAATGCACGAGCTAGAAGTCAACACCTGTAGTTCGATAAGAATCAGTACCCAACAACCCTGGAGCAACAGAGCTCCTCTCCTACTTAGGTCAAAACTTACACAACCCTCAATGCCGTGACAAGTACTCTACCGTACTAGTAACCACCCCAATGCTCAACCGCATAAGCATATAAGAATAAAGACATACACATACAAAATGAATGAAACCTACAATACCATGTTCATTACTTGTCACTTAATCATAAAAGAAAATTGCACCAACCGTGCCTATTACTTGTCATCGTCATGTATCACATACTTTCTACGTTATCATATATAACATGCGTTCAAATACTTTCACATTTCATTTACATAGTTGGTTCATACAATTATTCCACATACATGGCCATATAATACAAATTTTAGCATTTAAACACATAAACATGTGAACACTTATCAAGAGAGCATGCCCTTTAAAAACCGTAAACATATAAGCACATAAAGCAAATAATCAGTTACACATGCTTTTCAAACAATTAAACACCTTAGCACATAAGCATATAAACATACAATTCAACTTTCCATGCAATCCTATGTAGGCCTCTATCCGTCATCCTAATGGTATTCAAACCATCGCTCTGATACCAAATTTGTAACAACCCGAACCCGAGGGTTCGAATCGCTAATCGGATCCTTACCAAAACCCGAGGTCAACTAAAGACACTACCGTCATTTCCTATGTCAATACATAATATATGTGTCATCCCAGGGTTTATACAAAACAAGTGAGATCACAAATATAAAAGATGATAAAACAGTCCACTAACCCATTCAAACCTATGGAGGAACGTTGTTCGCCACTTCTTCCCATGACCTGAAAAATGTTAAAATGATGGATGAGCATAAAGTTCAGTAGGAAGCGTCTAAGACACACCTCTTACGACCTTGTGAATCTATACAATGAATAGGATACAAGAGAATGGGATCATATCTCGGGAAAAATAAGCAAAACAACGATAATATCAACAGATACATACGCAAGTCGTCCAATCACCAAGTGTGCAATGTATGTCAATGAAATGCCATGCCATGCAATGTCGCTCCCCATTTCCGAAACACTACCATTTCAACTTCCAAACCGTTAGTGTAATCTGACCCAAGGCACCTCCAAGGCGTCACGAAAGGAGGATTGGTTAACCATCAACGACCACAAGGCACTTCCAAGGCGTCGTATCCGGCCTAGTTAGCTCAACCACGCTAGGGTCTCTCCCTAGTCCCCTCTAGACCACACTAACACTACAGACCACTAGGCACCTCCTAGACGTCCGGTTTTCACAAACACTTTTCAAAAAAACACTTTTCCCAAAAACAATTTTCATTTGTTTTTAAAACAAACTTTTCCCTTTACTCTCCCAATGGCAATGCATGAATTATGCAATTTCTTCAATGCCATGACAAAATAGAAATGTCATACATATCATCCACATCATTTATGCATATTTAAAACATGAATTTCTACACAATATAGCATTCTCATATTTCTGAATCATGGTATTTTACATATTTTAAATTCGCAAATCCAACAATTAAATTCTACATATTCCATCAACGTTATATTCACATTTTAAGAAGAAATTCTAAACATTTATTTCCACAACTAATAATCCCAAATTTACATAGCAATTGGCAAACATTTTGCATACAACTTATTATTATTGAACATGCTTTTAATAACAACAAATTAATTAAGTTTATAGACTCAATTAACACACCACACCATTTATCATCATGAACACAACCAAATACAATCACCATATTTAAAATAACCAAAACTAAGCATGCTTATAACCAACTTTAAAAAGGAAAATTCACAAAGAATCAAAGAAATTGTGAATTAGAACACCCTTACCTCAAAAGATGAGAAAAGTCCCAAATTATGCCCAAATTTTCGAAATCCCTAGGTTGGCCAAACAAGGATTTGTTCCTATCAAAGCGTAGATCTCAACGAGCTCTCCGATTTGCCTTAAACGGTACCAACAAATTCTAAAAAATGAGGGAGAAATCAAAGCTTGAAGCTTTGTAGAAAAAGAAAAGAAAAAAGGAAAAGAAAAGAAAAGAAAAGAGAGATTTATGCAGAGAGAGAGAGAAACTGATGGTTGCATATGGCCATTAGGCCTTTTGAGATGATTTAATGAAATAGTGGGGCCCACTTGCTTTTAAAATTTGTCTTACTATTTATTTTCCGCCACAAATATATGCATATATATATATATATATATATATATATACATATATATATATCTTTTAAATCCCAACCACACAAATTAATACAACACCATGAACTTGTGCAAAAATAACAATGCATGAAATGCAATGGACCCGTGACGTAACTCCAATATACAAAAATTCCAATAGCGGGTCTCACCCGGGACCTTCCAATCCGAAAAACAAAAAAATGCCAAAATAGAAACCAGTGCATTTCCAAGAGTCCAAAACTCAAGGAAATGCCCCAACCAACTCTCGGGCAAATTCGGCACACCCCACGGTGTCCGGCACACAAAACGAGAAAAGGCGAAAATACCCTCAAAATTCAGAAAAAAATTTCAGAAAATGGAAAAATGAAAAAAATCGGAAACATTATAACTTTTTTCTCTGAAAGTTCAAGTAAACACACACTGCCACTATATATATTATGCCTCCACCTAGGCTCAAACATTAAAACTTTCCATTTGGGAATGAGAGCTTATACCATCTGGGCTAGTACCCATTTCATATCAATACTAATAAACATGTTTTCTTTGTTTTTCTCTCTGCGAGGAGAGGAAAAGGGATGCTGGTCCTTTCATTGTTGTTTTTTTCCTCCTTAGTGTTGGAGGAAAAAAACACGTTTATCTTATTTTGACATTGTGGTTTGCCTACTGCTTCCAGTTAGTGCGGCAGCTAAATGCTGTTTCTTTTCTGGACGAAGATGGCGACATAAGAAGAGAGGATGCTTGAATACTGAAACATTTTGATACAAGTGTAAAGTACGACCACCGTGTATATTCAGGTGAATGTTTTATTCTGAATAAGTCTTTTTTATTATTATTATATTATTATTATTATTATTATCATCTCTGTATTTTTATCTTTTTCGTCTGATTTATTTTATTTTATTTATTTTGATAACATGTAGAAGCAGAGGCCAGGAATTGTTGTTACTGGAATCATGCTTTTCTTCACGGTGTTTATAAAGTTCTCTGATAGAAGATTCTGCCTTCTCAAACGACACAAGCAAATAATCAGTCGGCTAAGATACTATTCCTTCTCGTTATTTGGCACAAACAGAAAAGAGCTCCTTCCTGTGCAGATTAATGTAGTTGCCTCCCTCCTTTTTTATAATTCTGAAATTTCCATCTGTGCTGTAGTCATCTGGGATCTGTGAATTACAACAAATTCTGTAAAATTCACTTGTGTGTGTGTGTGTGTGTATATATATTTGATGTTGTCTGCTTATACATGATGGAAAAATTTCTGCAGATATTGGTTGTGCAATTCGCCCTGGTGATTTGCTAACTTGATTGTTTCACCATGTGTTTGGCATATAATTCATTGTTAGGTTTTCTGAAAAGCAAAAGTTATCATATTTCACTTCACTGGGGAGATGGCTTTCATTTTTCCAAATGGCTCAATAAAAGAATAAATTATTATTATTATTATTATTTTTAAAACACGTATGGATTTTTTGAAATAAATTGACCAGTTCATGCATGGTGGTGGTTTTAAGGTTTTGATGGTGCTGGTTCGTTTAGAAGACATGATTATTTAATTTGTTAATTAGAACAAATTAAAAGAGAAGTGCACGTTTTTACTTTAAAGGGGATTCTCATAATTTGTTAATTGGAACAAATTAAAGGAGGAGGAAATTTTTAATTGGAAAAGTGCACGATTTTCTAAAAAAGGATTCTCATAATTTGTTAATTAGAATAAATTAAAGGAGTAGTAGGAATTTTTTAATTAGAAGTGCTGCACGTTTTTACCTAAAATGGATTCTCATAATTTGTTAATTAGAATAAATCGGCGGCGGAGGAGTTTTTTTAATTAGAAGTGGACGTTCTCACTTAAAAAGGATTCTAGCAAGTGATAAGATAAAGTTAGCAAGGAAAATGATATTTTATGCAATTAAAGAGACTGAAAAAGTCCGTGGAAATAATTGAAAAGAGTACTGATGAAAACGATTCTATGACAAATTTTGGAAAATAGAATACTGATGAGTACATAATATATATATATATATATATATATATATATATATATATATATATATATATAACATATTATTTTTGTATATAAATAATAATTTTTGTTCATTATCAATCTAACCATGAACGAAATCACTCGTTTTGGAACTTACCTTGGGTACATGGAATGGAATAACCATTTTAATTATTCCTTTATTTGATATGAAATTTAAAATGGCAATAGCCACTTTATTAGAATGAAATTTTATTTTTGAGAATAAAAATTCATTTCACAACTAAACTTATGAAATTACCATTTCATTACCATATAAACTATTTTTTAAAAAATCAAGTTCTCAAAAATCCTCATGTTCAAAGCCCAAAAACATCACTACCGTCTACTACCGATGCCTTCTACCACTACCGCTACCTTCTACCACCACCATAACCGCCGTCGCCGCCTTTCACTACCACCACCTCCATTGCCTTCCACTACCATCACTGCTATTGCAACCATTATTGCTGCCTTCAACCACCACATCGCCACCTCCTCCACTGCCACTTCCACCGTCGCCACCACCACTGACTTCCACTGCCTTCCACCACTACTACCTTCGCCACCGTCACCTTCATTGTCTTCCACCACCGTCACCACCACATCCCACCACCGCCACCTTCTACCACCACCACCACAATGCCGCCGCCTCTACTACCTTCCACCACTGTCTCCACCTTTACCATTACCGCCACCTCCATCACCCCCGCGCCCCGCCCCCCCCCCCGCGGCGGCACTACCACCGACTTCCATCATCTCTACTGCCTTCCACCACTACCATTGTAATGCCCCAAGTCCCATGATACGGTGCATTAACCAAGAAGATCCAAACCTGTGATGTCCCGAATTTTTTTTATTTTTTATGCATTGGGATGTGTGCCATACGAGTTCCGAGCTTCGTTTGGACTATTTATTCGGTTTGGAATCCTTAGAAACTAATTTGGATCCATTTCAGACATTTTTGAGTTTTGGATTAGGAGGTCCCGTGTGGGTACGGGTTGGCCCAAGTGCACAGGAATGACGAGGGCTTAAGTGAAAGATTATTGGAGGGTATCATTACACTACAACAAACTGGCCTTTTGCGACGAAATTATTTTTGACTAAGCTGAAAAAGTGGCAAATACTATATTATTTGCGACCAAAATGAATTGGTCCTAAAAGTTTACATATTAGCGACTAAAGTAAATCTTGGTCGTAATTGATGAGAGCATTAACGACCAAAATAAATTATGGTAGCAAAATGATTAATTTTTTACAACCAAATTTTATGGTTACAAAATGATCAAATTTTGGTCGCAATTGGATAAAGTCTTAACGACCAAAATAAATTATGGTCGCAAAAGGATTAGTTTTTTTTTTTTTTTTTTAACAAATTTTATGGTTGCAAAATTTCAAATTTTGGTCGCATTTGGTTAAGGTATTAATGACCAAAATAACTTGTGGTTGCAAAAGGACACATTTTGTCAAGACCAGGCCGACTTTTAAATTTATTGTAAAATAATGTGTCAACTAATTAAAGACTCAGCAAAAATGTCATTAATTGCAAGATAGACAAATTAGTCATTTCTTGTTTCGAGCTTGATTAAGTTGTAGCAATGCCAATATAAGAAAAAAGATAAAAGAAAAATAGGAATATATAATTATTAAGTATTTTACTAATTCTCGATCTAAAATGACATGTACGTTAAATATTTTAATTAATAACTATTGTTATAAAAGAATTGATTAAGGTATTGTTTGATAAGACTGGAAATTAAGTATTGAAAATTTTAAGAGCAATATCTCATTTCTTGTCAATATCGTAAATACTATATTTCTCAATTCTTAGCTATATTCTTCAAAAACCTCTTATTGCAACCTTCAACTTCTTCTTTATTTTAGGGTAAACTGATATCTCATTACAGCAATATCTCATTTCGTAATTTATCTCGTCCTCAACCACAACAATATATCTTCTCTTTAAAAGATGTATTATATATTTAAGGTAATTGACTAAGTAGTAGAGTTTGTATTTCATAGATCTTTTTGTTATTTATATATAAATATATATGGATTTTTGTTTTTTTTTTTTTTTAGAAGTACAAAAATTCTACATACATTTAATAATAGTGTATATATAAAGAGATATAGAAATATTTAAGAGAATTTGTAAGAAATATTTATCCTTTTATATAAATTACTGTAAAGAAATATAGAATTTTATTTTATTTTATTTATTTATTTTATTTTATTTTTTGTAAAGAAGAGTTAATGTTTAACACAGCCCGTGAGTGTAATGGTCACTTAGAAGGAAACTAGTTCAGGTCAACACAGAGTTGAGATAAAGCTGTTCAAGTCTCTCAAAACCATATATATATCTTTTTGGACTAAATTAAATAATATTTTATTTTAAAAATAATCTTTTTAAAAGAACTCTACAAGAACACGACCTCTTTATTAATTTAAATATATAAATAAATACAATGCAAAATAAAGATAATAGAAACAAAATTCATGAAAACGAGAATACTTAAGGCGATAAAATTACAATAAAAAAAAACCCCCAATTACAATATCCATATTGAATTTAATATGAAACAATAGAAATTTTCATTGTAATTAGGTTAAAACAGGTTGCAAATTATGTAATGTTTATCGATTTTTCCATTTTTCGGGTAATTTTTAATTTTTTGGATTTAATTATTTTTGTGCCTCGTTTTGCATGCCATGCACCGGTTAGCGTGCCACAAAGGTTTCGAGTGTGGTTTGGGGCATTTCTTTTAGTTTAGAACTTTTAGAAATGCATTTTCAACAAAAAGGTGAAATGAATCCGTAGGAGGCTCAAAACACAAACGAAATGGTTTTTCATGGAAACGATCATTCACGCAAATGTAACTTACCTATTAGGACGTGCTACAATGGTCCACGACTTAAAAATACCACCGATACAAAATCCGACCCCCCAACAGGCAAAAAGGCAAAAATGGAACTTGGAATGAAAATTCGGAATCCAAAAATACAAAACGGGATTAAATGACCGTTTGGCCCTTGGCCACACTTCAAACATGATTTATGAGACCCTATGAAAGAATGAGAATGGAATTCTCACACCCGACGCAACCATGGTGAAGCAATGACTTGCGATTTTTCAAGATTTTCACAATATTTCATGAAGTTAAAAAGTACATAGAATACAATATAATGGTCATTGGCCTCCGGTCTCATCTCATACATATCAATTACATTGAAAAGAGTGTACTTAAGTACACATTACATACATGGAATCAAATATACATATTTTGACATATAAGTCTACAAAATGACATTTCATACTAACATTTGCATGAAATGGAAACTTGAAAGCTACACGACATCCAAGGAATGCTAGGCTTCACGAACCAAGTCTTCGTACCTGAAATATACCCCAGTATCATAGGGGTGAGTAACATAAAGCTACTCGTAGAAGATGAGCATGCATCGACCTAACATTTTACAAATTTATCACCTTAAGGTGAAACATGTTAAAGGGGCTCATACCACCTAACGTCTATGTCCAAATGAGACTCGGGGAGCATCCTAAGCTACCTTAGAGTCTAAGCAACAAGAATCATGATATACATACGTGTATGAAACGAATCATGGTTGGGATAATCTAAAGAACACGACAAGAAGAATGCTTGAGCATAGATTAACATAAATTGCGTTTTCAATACAATTGAACTAGATCTAGAGTAATCCATATAACATGACAAAAACATATTTGAATACAAGTAAACAAGAATCACATTATCCATGCAATTCAACAACAAAAGAGCATGTTATACAATGCAACAAGGTATAAGTTCTCAAAGCCATCAACTTAGAATCTAAAGTACAAAATAACAGTGGTGGTTCATGTCACCTAACGTCTAAGTTCTAAATGAATCAATAGAATCAATCCTAAGCTTTGTTAGAACGTCAAAACACAATTTTCAATATCGATGCAATTTAACCAACATTGGAACTTCAATACAATGCATAAAGCACAATTTCACAAAGTTAACATCATGTAATTTAAAATGGAATGACAAATAAGGAACAACAAGTTACAATATCATCTAGTTATCAACTTGAAAATGAAATGCGAAATTAAACAAAGTGGATACTCGGACGTCACGTCGGATCAGACCGACAACATAGTTACTTTAAGGTTACTAGCCCATGGGTAACCACCCTATGTGCGCACTAGACTATATAGACGGACTATCCCCCGTACTAGAACCAC